TATTGATTAAAAAGTTCAGAAACACACGGTTCTTATCCAAAACCAGGGACTAATCATGCATTTCTCAATCAATAATTCATGACAGAGGGAGAGACCGTACCTAAAACTTAAAGAAACAATAACAACAAAACCTACAATTTAAGTAAATATGCAATTGACACCAAGTTGTAATGTTATTTTCACTCAAAGCTTTATCGCTTTTGCATTCTTAATTCAATCTAATCTAATTATAAATTGAGTACATTAGAAAATTTCATCAGAGAATATATTGGTGCCATCTAGCAACAAGTGTCAAACACCTATAAAAGACGCTCCAAAAACTTGATCACAAGATAACGAAGCATCTGCAAGCACCATGTGAACACTCGATAACCTTAACATAATCAAGAACGCGTTGCTAAACATGTTTTTCACCAGGCAGCATATGGAATCTCTCCATTTCTAACAGTTTCAGAGACCAATTATTTTTAGACGCAGTATAATCTATTACTACAAAACTCATTATTTCGGTCATTAAAGAGATTTGCTGACTCCAATCGTTGAAAGCATTTAGAATAAAGATATTGTGAAAAATAGTGAATTCAACATGCTCTCGTACACACTCTCATATCTCTCTCATTGAAAAATAGTGAATTCAACATGCTCTCGTACACACTCTCATACTAACTTGAGTGTCTAAATGACCCCGTTGTTAGAGGAACCAAGGTTCTTTTTCATTATCTCTTCCTGAAAAAGGACTACCAATGTAGTTGTCTACCAGCTCCTCAGTCCATCTACTAAATCATCAATGAAATCACTAGCAAACCTCAAATTCCTGGGAGTCTGTTAGGTTATTACGTGACATAATCTGTTACCACTCAGCTTTTCAATCAATCTATCAAGTAATTAGACATCACTTACCAGCTGTCAGCTTCTCTTTCAAGATTAGATTTCATCAGAAGATATTCAAAGTCAGCATTTTATAAATTAAAATATCTTAGACGTTTCTGCTGACATTCTTCTCTTAGATATCCCCAAGTGTCACAAATGGCTTAAGGTTGCTTTAACCTCTTCCTTAGCTAGAGCACTACCCTTTCTTTCAATTTATGTTTATGCACTGCTTTGATCTCTTTTTTGTAACGACAATATGGACAACAACATCAACAACAACAATAATAATAAACAAAATGTGAGAGATCATGCATTCTTAATAATTCAAAGATACTAACTTTAAAGGCCACAAAAATTTTTAGGTAATAATACAATATCTTTTCTAATTCGGCTCACCAAAACAAGACATGAAGTTTGCCCACTCTATTATTGCTTTAACATGCATTCTCTCGTATGATTTTTCATACTTTGTGTATAAGTTGAAGTGGATACATCAAAGGATCAATTCTTTTTCCCTTATTTCTAAACAATCGATTGACATTTATGTAGGTGGCCATCAATTTGAGCCCCAAGAAAAGGATTGATTATTAAGCATAAGAAAAAAGTCCAATTCTTTTTTAACTCAGCATTATGAGGTCTGAGTAATGGGCATTATGATATGAATGGTTGGATGCTAGATAATTTAGTGCACCTTAAATAAATAAATAAATAGCTAATTTAGTTGAACAAGCTTGCAAGGTCTGATACATATATTCGAGAGTTGTATCCAACATATTATTGAACTTGAAGTAGATAATGTGTTCCTTGAAGACAAGGACTCCTTTGCTTTGTTTGGAGCAGAGAGAACAATAACTTGTGGAGATGATTACTATATGATTATCATGACAAAAATCAGATGATCTAAGGATAAAAAAATTGGCTTCAAGTTCTATGCTGCTAAAGAAACAATAAATCCCTAACAAACACTAAGGGAATGTAGAGCCACAGGTCATGGTTTCATTTACCCAACATTCAAAAAGAAGCAGATAAATTAACATTGCAGCATGTAATCAGGAGAATCTCTAGATCAGTTGGCTTCCAGTACAGCGCTTCCAAATTTTGCAGGACCTCTACCAATGAGTATAATTATAATCCTAGCGGCAAGTTGGTGTTTTGAGAATAAGTCTTTTATTGATTTGTTAGCTTCATTTTATCAAGTTCAGCTTTACCAATAAACTAACTACACTGGGGCAATGTCAGACTCATGATACAGCCAAGGTAAGTTAGGAGCAAAAGGAAAAGTTATAGTCAATTGCCAGACTGATATCTTCTATTTCTCTCAACTTTAAGAACCAAAGAAAAAAAACCACAAACAATAAAAAGAGAACCCTTTCTCCATAACAAATCCACTTCCAACAGCTTACGTATTCATTAATTATCTCTCAACATATCAACATCTAAAATAAACCATAAATCCACTAGTAACCATGGGATCTTTAGAGAAGATTTACACCGGAAATTGATGATGATGGCTTCCAATTTATTCTTCTCTCTAATTAAAAAACCTTATTGCCTTTCTTTCTTTCTTTGTTTTAATACCTGTTCTCTGAGCCACAAATTATTAGACTGATATAAAGGTAGAAGAAACACCTAATCTGATCTCGAAGAACAGAAGAGCAACAACACAATCACAATCAACTATCATTAACCAGAGAATTTCACCTGCCACTCCAAGAAGATAAATGGTGATTTCCCCAATCTAGCCTGCCATTTTGCCATCTCTCTTTCCCATCAAACACATGTTCATGTCCAGTAACGGATCCCAGGCTCCCATAAGTATAACCATGAATACTACCCAGATAACGGTCAGGGGCCCAAGAATATAGCTGAGGCGGAGAAGAGCAATAACATGGGCCAGGTGGAATATGAAGTGGCGGTGGCTGTGACATATGCAGTGGTGGCGGCTGCAACATATGCGGTGGTGGTTGACCAGAGGAATCAGGCGGATGGAAATTGTAGCTTTCTTGCGTTGCAGGCGGTAAATAGTTTGCTTCCTGGTTTGCGGGATAACTGTAAGCATTTAGGGAGGTAACTTCTAATTCCAGGGATGGATACTGGATCCTTTCTGATGGGGTATCATCTTCAATCTGGGGGTACTGAATTTTAGGAGACAGAGGATTAACTATTGGATAGCCAGTGATATGGCTCCCCGGAGAATTGCTTTCTGTAAACTTACGAAGTCCATTCACCTTAAACGAGAAATTCAAGACTCCATTTGGTTTTCCATCTGTGCTCCGTACCTCGTAACTCATAAATCTGACAGCTCCATTGGATTCTTCAAGTAGATCCTTCAGGGGAACACGGACTTCTCCTATAGTTCTATCTACAAACAAGATTCCTCCTTCATGTTTCAGATCAAATTGAACAAGCAGGTTATCGCAGTCCTCTAACACGTCCTTCTTCAGATTGAACTGCATTCCATGGTTCCATTCAGGATCCCCATCACCTTCTCCATCCGTCGGTGTTCTCTGTTGTTGCTCTTGCTTCAATTTCCTCTGAGGATCCCCGCTGACAATTGAAACAACCGCGTAGACAGTGAGTTTCTGGAAAAAATTGAATGCTTTCAGACCTTTGCAAGACAATATCTTTAGTTCTATGGAAGCCGATTCCATTTGAAATAACTCGTAAAATCCTGATAATTTCTCAGATACCTAGCCCCAGACCGAGTCCTTAATGGGGCTCAGATGAGAAAACAGAGCCGGCAGACAGAATAAAGATTCAAACTTGGTGCCAAATCACCAATCGGCAATCTCCAAGAAACAGCATTAACTGGGTCTGTAGCTGAAAACGGACGGTCCACAAAAATTAACTGAGAAGTAATTTAGGAAATTGCGGTGTAATCAATTAAGGTTGCGTAATTATCATCTAAAAATTACCCGGTCATCACCTAATATTTATAATTATTTGATTTTTTTATAATTCACATAAAATTATTATTCTATTAAAAAAATTACTACAAGATATAACCATTTAATTTTTATAAAAACAAAATTTAAATTGAATCAATTACAAACTCATTCAATAAAATTTAAATGAACTATTTCATCACATATGAACCAATTTTGATATTTGGGTACTTATTAATATGTATGCAAGTAAAATCCTACCTGTTTACTGAGAAGCAAAAGGTGAAATCGTACTTTAGCCTTAGCTATGGACAGATAGTGCTGACCGCTGACCACTGACCGCTGACCGCTGACTATCACCGTCCAAACTGCTGACTGTCCGACTTTCAAACATGAAACTATAAATGATTAAAAGAAAAGGTGAAGCTTAAACAGCATCTGATGGGCATGAAAAAAGGGTTAGTGGAGACTGGCTCAATCGTATATGTACTGTTCTTTCTTGGTTTGGTTTGTTTTTTCAAGGGTCCTCATTAAAAATCGAGTCTTTCTTCTTAAAAGGAATGTTTGAAAGCATAGCCAAAATATCTTGTAACATTTACTGAAACTTCACCTTCAATCTATAGAGAGCAAGCCAGAAATACTTCACCAGTAATCGCCACAAGAGCAAATTCCTCCTTTAAAATGATGAAACCTGTGAGCATCTCTCACTACTATTTCCCTGCCTGTAACCTTGGAGATAAATTTAGTAGCAGTATGACAATCTCCACAGACTCTCAGGTTTTTCCTAATCCTGATCACGCTCTCAGGTCCTAAACTGAGGAGTCCGAAGACAATGGCCAGCTTCTCGCTGTGTGCATACAGCATTTTCTCCTTCATTTCTTCCTCCACATCATGCAACACAAAGTTCAAATCCGGAGAGTAACCTTCTCTTTTTATTCTATTCATCAGTTTTGCCAATTCCAAGTATATCAAATCTGTTTGCGGATGTGATCTATCCCCTGCAACAAAGGTGTGCACCATGTTTTTAATTTCTATAATTGTGCATCCAGCAATCTTCCTAACACCTCTCCTCTTCATTAGATCTCTGATGTTATCAGCTTTCTTTCTTTTACCAGAAGTCGCATAAATGTTGGATAAGAGAACATATCGACCTGGATTACCGGCATCCAGCTCAAACAAGGATTCTGCAGCCAACTCAGCCAGTTCTACGTTAGAATGAACCCTACAAGCTCCAAGCAGCGCGCCCCAGACCGCAGCATTCGGCTTTACTGGCATTTTCTCAATCAAATCCTGTGCCTCCTCCAATCGTCCAGCTTTACCGAGGAGATCAACCATACATGCATAATGTTCTGGTCCTGGAGTAACCCCGAAATCTCTAACCATGGAATTAAAGCATTCCCATCCTTCACTGACCAACCCAGAATGGCTGCAAGATGCCAATATGGATACAAATGTGATGTGGTCAGGCTTTGCTAATTCCTTCATCTCATCAAAGATGCAGAGGGCTTCTCTACCGTGGCCATGCATCCCATACCCTGAAATCATGGTGCTCCATGAGATTAAACTCTTATCTTGCATCCTATCAAAAACCTGTCTAGCATATGCTAAACTTCCACACTTCACGTAGAGATCAACAATAGCAGTATCTAGCTCTAAGTGATTATTGAAAAGGCCACGGATTATGATTCCGTGAATGACCCGTGCTTGCTGCAATGAAGCTAAAACTGAACCAGCTCTGACTACACAAAGAAGGGTCACGGAGTCAGGGATGACGCCTTGCAATATCATCTGGTTAAAGAGTTCCAAGGCTTTAATGGGGAAATCAGCTTGAGCATAAGCATCTATCATGGATGTCCAAGACACCAAATCTTTGTTTGGAATTTCCCGGAAGAACCAACTAGCCATGTCTATTCTTCCGCATCGCGCATACATGAGAAGTGCCGCATTTTGAACAGAATGGTCTCCACGAAATATAGTGTCCATGACGACTTTGCAGATATCATCAGCCTCATTCTGACTGCGGGCACAAGCCATGACATCCAAGAGGGCAGACCTTGTGGGTCTGATCCCCTCGTCCAATATCCGCGAGAACAAGGACAAACCTTGGTCGAACTGACCATTCTGCGCGCATGCACCTATCATGGAACTCCACGAGACCTCGTTCTTGCGAGGCATTTTATCAAACACCTGCCTGGAAAAGTGACAGTGCCCGCATCGACCATACATGGCGATGAGGGAGTTTGCAACGAAGACATCCGACTCATACCCAAACGCCACGGCGTCTTTATGAAGCTTAAGACCGAGGCAGAGATCGTGGAGGCAGCCGCAAGCCTTGAGAACAAAGGGAAAGGTGAAGTTATCAGGTGGGACAGCAAAACGGCGCATTTGGGAGTAAAGGATGAGAGAAGCGTGGTAATGGGCATTATCGACGAAACCGCGGATGATAACGTTCCAGAGGAAGACGTCGGAGAGGAAGGAAAGGGAAGCGGAGGAATAGAAGAGGGAAAAGGCGTGAGAGATAGAGCCAAGAGAGGCGTAATGAGAGATGAGGTTGGTGAAGAAGCAAAGGTTTTGGTGAAGGTGGGATCTTAGCATGGAGGCGTGGACGGTTTTCAGGGAGCGAAGAGTAGCACATTGCTTGATCAACGAGATGCAAGTGTCTGCTCCAATTGCTCCCTGCAGCGTTTGTTGAGTGTGCAGGTGGCGTGAGTGGCGCCATAGGCAAAGGAGACGAAGAGCTGAATACTTGTACATGTACCAAAGTCCAAAGTTTTAGCAGATTCCATGAGCTTGCAGGATTTTATTTTATTTTTTGTCTTCTTGTCCAAGAAACGTGTAGTCGTTCAATCTGCTTTCCTTTCTTGTTTCGTGAATTCAGTTGGGCAGTATAAAAGAGTCGGTAGTGTCTACGCATGCATTATTCTTTTTAGCATGGCTAAATATTTTATAGTTAATTTTACTTAAAAGTTTTAAAACGTTGTCATTAACAATTTTTTTTTTCAATGGCTTTCTATTTAACATAAATAATGCCAAGAACAACCATTTTACAAAAATCATCTATGAACTTGTAATCTGTATCACATAAGGCGGATTCCCTATTCAATGAACTAAAAAAACCATGCATCTAACTTGCTATATAGTTTGAACTTAAATCTTTATTTTACTCAACATCGTTCATTTAAAATTTTTAATTTGCAACATACATCTTACAAACTGATCACCTGTATGCTACAACATTTAAACTATTCCTTTTCCTTCTATTCAATTCAAGTGAGGTAGAATATACATAAAGTATTTTAAAAAATGATGGTAGTTTTGAGCAAGTTCACTCAATGAATAAACCAAAACAATCAATCCTGAGCTACCACTGTCCGCATTGATGAAAACAAAGATGACCAAAGAGTGACAAGAAAATACACCTCTTGACAAATTCCTCTGTCAAAGGCTTTGGGAAAGAATGCTGCTTTTCTCTATCACCTGGGCACCATCTTCATCCATTGATATCTTACTCCAAGTGGAATCTCTCAGAGATAGAATCTTAGCCCTTTCCAGGCCATTTCCCCTAAAACCTGTTATCTTTGATGACACCATAGGCATCACAAGAACTGCAGATGCATTGATCGAATCCTCTCCAAAACCTAGAGATAATGAACATGCAGTCTGCAAGGGAACCACCCCAAGTTTTAGATGTTAATCGCTGATTTAAAGCATAATAGCAAAGGAAAGTACATTTAGTTATCAAATTTGTACTACCTTTGCCTTGGCAATTACATCAGTTAGCTTCATAAACATTCCTTGCAAAATTGACTTTGCCTCTCTACACTGTGCATCTTCAGATGGTGGGATCAGCCTACAAATTAGTGGAGTCGGATGTCAAAAAGGTAAAAAAGAATAGATAAGAAATAAAATGAATTTCATATCCTTATGACTCATGCCTTCTTCCCCATCACTTTCTCAATGTGGATCTGGATAACGTTGCCACCACCTAGCGAAACTATTATTTTCATAGTAAATTCTTAAGCCAAAATATTCCAGATTCCATGGAGTCATGGGAGTCATGAACTTCTTTGTAGTTCCATCAAATTTTTGTTTCTTTACTCATGAATTACTGGTAAACTGGTTTCTTAGCCAAATTAAGAAAGAAAATCTTCAGAATTTTATGATGAATGCCTCTTACCTGTCCACTTCAGTTGACATGCTTGAAGACACCACTGAGACCAGAGACGAGTCTTTAACCTCACTGCCTTTCAACTCATCAGGTGCTAGTAGTGAAATGCCTATGAATACGCACATCATTCCTAGTATGAACATTGTCGTTCTCAGTGCATCAAATACCTGCTTAGGTACACAATTGAAAACATGTGAGGTCATCTAAATTCCACAATTATCAGCAGATTATGAGTCTCTACTTCAGAGTAAGGCTACATGTGTCATTTTTTTATACAGGAGATGTATGTAATTTGCGCCACTAAAATTATCATGTTCACTTCGGTGAGTTGTACACAGTCAACTTTCAGGCCATGCATTTGAGTTCTACTTGGATATGAAATAGGCTAAAACATGCTTCATGTAAGTGGGCATGTTTTTCTCATTACAGGTGACATTTATCTGTTTTTCTATGCAGATGTGTCGTAAGTAAATGGCAAACTTAAGAAAAAAAAACTAAAATTTTGTATATGTGTCTCTAAGGGAGATGGAGAGAGAAAGAGAGGAAGACCTGATATTCCTGAAAGTATACAAATCCTGTACAAATGGAGAAAAAGGTCCAAGCAATCTGAAACATGGGAACAATCAGGATTGCATCAAATAATGCCAATCCTTCATTCAGTCTTGTCATCTGCATAAAGAAGAGTAGAAAAAGCAATCAAATTTATAAATTCATCATCACCTGGCAGACCAAAAAAAAATATAGTTCTCTATGTTTTACCCAAAATCCAGCTGTACTTAGAAATAAAAGAAGCATGGAGTATGTGAACCAGCTGTGCAACTGATAACCATTGGACATGGCCAATCTTAGCAAATTAGATCTGGGACAAGAGGAAACTCGTATTAGCCCTTGAATGCAACCACATATTTACTAGTTATATTTCAAAAGGGAAATAATGCCTAAGGTGGCTAACTTACAGAGATTTTGCAAACAAGACTGAACATGATCCTACAGCACCTGAGACTATAGCATATGAAAAAGGAAGAAGCATATGCCAATAAGGTCTAAGATCTTGACCAGAATCAGCAACCACAAGTTCACCTCTCCTGCATATTCCACAGACAGATTAGAAAGATCGCAGAAGCTGGGAGATTTTCAATAGAAGGCTAATGGGTTATAGAATATGAAGAAAAGAGAGCCAGGTCCCGAACCTAACCTGTAAATGGAGTGATGCAAGGCAACTACCAAGACTAAGATCAGACAATAGACAAGGAATGTAATGTTGCTGTACTTCTCCGCCAACTGGTCTGGTGTGTAGACTGGAAATGAAACAAATAATATCTGTTACATTATCAATTTTTTCTTAAATTTACATAAAAATGACCAGTATCCTCACATATATGCTGCTTTCCACAGGCTTGAAAATAAATTTAGATGGGTTTCCCAGAGAAGGAAACAAAGTACTTCTTCCTCCCTATTAGCAAAAGGTTATTATGGTATTTCAAAAGATTTTTCTTTGTGAGCTCTATTATTTTCTAAAAACAAAAACTTAACAGTGAAGGATGAAAAGAAGTGAATAAGATGTAAGTGAGAGGAAGTATTTTTTATAATTCTTATGATATATGGTATCTTGCAACTATTTGGGCTCTTTAGGACATAGTAGTTAATTTTACAAGATTTGAAATTTGATTAGGATTTAGAAACTTTCTTTTTTATAATTAGTTTTTGTGGTATTTTCCTTACTGGCTTTAATCAGAGCCTATATAATTAGTGTAGTAGACCAGATGAAAATTCTATAGATAGTTATTATGGTGATATTTTCTTTATTTGGCTGCTTCTCCCTTGGTTCTGTTCTTTCTGTTGTTCTCCATCTCCATGGTCCTTGTGATTCTATGTCCACTGCCTCTAGTTTTTTCTTCCCTGATCTTAAATTTCTGTCTCTTTCCCTCCCCTACTCTTCCATTTTCCAATGGTAGATTCTTCTAGGTTATCCTTTGTTACATCAATCTGCCTCCTAATGCAGTGTTGGGAACCACCATTGGTTGCTGAAGCTATTTGCTTGCTGAGAAGGAAAAAAGTAGTATGGTGGTGCTAACAGCATTAAACAGTTTTTGTTGCTTCCAATTCTCGTTAGTTGGTGTTAAAGCATGATTACTTATCACTGCAGAGGTGTCTCAGATAGTTACTTTTTTTCTTGAATTGAGGAGCGGCCAGTGGTAGTAGACAATGTGCGATTCCTCGCAATCAAGAACAACCAATGAAATCAGAAAAAGCTTTCTTCCCTCGGCGATATACTCTCCTTTCTGCCTACTGATTATCCAATTCTACCAAATTCCTTTATCAGCTAAAACATGTACATGCATGTAGACCTTATGATTCTGAGCATACTCTCCATAATGTTATAATCACTTACATCATTGTGTGTGTGTGTCCTCCTAACTATCCTTGTAAATTCCTAGAGCAGTCTCATAAGTACCCACTATCTTTCAAATATTTTGAACCGCCACAGCCTGGTGTTGCTGGGTGGAGGAACATCTTGGAAATTTTAGCATTAATTTACCAAAACATCATTTAGAATGCAAGTCCAGTGAAAAGTTAGCAGCTAAGGGAAAAATTTATCGAGGTCTAAAAATCAAGTCGGAATACATACCGGGTGACTGATGATTGCCAAAGGCTACTAGGAAAGTGTTACCAAGGACTATGAAGGCCGTAGCAACCAGTACTCTGTCATAGAAGCAATATCATCTAAACTGAGATTAAATTATCAAAAGTAAAGGGAAAATCAGGACACAAACTCTACCATATTTTAGAAAATTAGCTCTCACTTCAGATTTTAACATACTTGACAGTCACCATTTTGTTCAACACAAAGTAAGCAAATGCAATGTTGGATACGAACTGAATAGATCCAAGGGCTGCAAGGAGTGACTGCAAAACAGGATTATAAAGAGATAAGAAAATCAGAAAGTAGGGCAAAATAAGCAAGTGAAGAAGTAATTGCCGCTTCAAAGATAATAATCTGTTTTAAACATCAAAATCATGTCGAGGTTACTGGAAAAATACATGCAGATAAAACCACCAAATCAGATAAAAATTAGCATTGTTTAAATCACACTGACCTGAGCAGCATAACCAAAGGAAATGAAATTGAGGCAATTTCCCAGAATGAAAAATAGAATACCTACATTTCAAGAATTCTATATTTAAGGTTGAGTTCATGGACAAAGGAAAAAAATACTCAGAGAGTACAAGACCAAGACTATACCTACTCTCCATGTCTGGAAGTATATAATAGGTTTCAGGGGGATCTTTCCTCCACCACCATCGAGAGTAGAATATCTTTCTCTCTGCAACAAGTATACACATATCAAACTACTCTTGAAACATGGTGCAACAGCCAACAATGAACAATAAGCTATCAAATATGCTGATTCCTTGTCGATACTTTTTGGCAGAATAAATTCATCAACACGTGATAATCTCCAAGCAGTTGCCAGTAGAGTGAAGGCTTGCATGTTCAAGCACATACTCGAAGAAATAGTAAAGCATGGCGCAGAACCATGTACTATAAGCTTGTGCTAATTAACAAAATTAACTGATAAAAGATTATGAAGAGAAAAACATGCACTTGAATGGTCAGACAAAAAATGGATGAGTATGGAATAGGGCAAACCTGATTATGACCCAATTTAAGAAGGTTAGTTCCAAAATTGATGGCAATGCTGCCAAAAAGGTTAATAAAAGCTCCGATGACCCACTCTCCCATGGTTTATATATGAGATGCCATGAAGGTAAGTCCACATAAAGAACTCAACTGGAGCTAGGACTTGAGTTGCGATCAATTCGCATGCAAACAAAAAGTAAGGTAACAAAATCAACTTCTATTGTATCCGCCAATGAGAGCCCAAGAGATGTCAGGCTCAGGTAGAATCTGCATACACGGATGAAGAAATTGAAGTTAATACCAGTAGAGATTCAATGAATGATGAAAAATAATTACAGTTGGAAAAGATGTTAAGTTTATAACAAAGAACTTCTCCGAAGATATAGAGGTCAATAAAAAAAAGAGAGATAGTTGGAGAGAGATGAAGATGGAAGCAAAAAAAGAAAATGCAGCTGTAAATTTATTGCAAAGACTACGTGAATTTATATCATCCAAGACGCAATCATTACACAACAAAGAATCAAAGTAAATTAGGATAGCAATCTCCATAAATGACCTAAATTAATACAGTAATATAAGGGAATAAGAAAATGTGGATCCAATAAGTAAGCATAAGCTATAAGAAGATTACCGACATAAAAATTCCGGTGCACTAACCTAAAAGAGAGTAAAATTTCAAATGTACGATAGAAATCTCCCCAAAATCCTGATTAACTTTAGCAGATTTGGGTCCAAGGCACGCATGAAAGGAATAAATCGTGGAGTAAATTGATAAAGGAAAGATTCTGCCACAAAAATCCATGAAAGAAGAGAGAGGAAGGAAAAAAAAAAGACGAGGAGCTTTACCAATTGAAATTGAGTTTTGAGTAGAAGAACAACAAAACGAAGGAAGACGATTTGTTAAATCTGATGCATTGAGGAGGACTCGCAGGGAGCAGATCCAAGAAGACGAACCAAATCTTTAAAATCGTACAGAAATCATTTAGTCAGAAAAATAAATAAATAAATAAATTTATAAATAAAAGTTTATTTTCTGGTGGGAGAAAATTAAGAAGGAAATTGGTTTCTTAGAGGGCAAAGAAGGAAGAAGAAAGGAAGTTGTGGGGTCAATTACTAAAATCGTGATAACTTAGCAACCGCGCAATGAACGGCGTACTCAACTTTTGGGCGACGTAATCGGGTGCATGCAGGTCTACGCTAAGATCGAATCAATCACCGTCATACCATTATCGGAATCTTAATCAACACAGATCTCGATTAGATACAAATCTCTGTCTTCGACAAAAAACCCAAACCACCTTCTCCTTGGCCCAACAGGATCGTTGACCATGCTGGTCTCGTGGATACAACCCTATCCAAGCCAAACCCAACCGAACATAAAAATCAATTTCTCGTTAAATCGTCGATAAGCAAAAACGTTTTTTTGACCAAAAAAACAAAATTGAAAAAGAAAAGTAATTATCGGATGCGGTCACTACCACGTGTCGGTTGTATATCCACTCAAAACGACAAATTCGATTAGATTCAATTGTTGCGCGCCGGTCCAATTTTAAAAGCTGAAACTTTTTTTGAATTGGAGGAAATTTCTTTCTTTTTTATTTTGAAAGCTGAAAAAGGTTTTTTTTTTTTTTTGTTTTTATTCCGGAAGATAGCGAAGACAGAGGAAGGAAGATGCAGGCGAGTGTTGAATCTGAAAGAGAAGAAGAGGTTCTCCTCGACGATAATGGCTTCCCGCTGATGGGCGTGAGTAATGAAGACGATGAAGAGGGAAACGAGTCAATTAGCGGGCAGATAGATGAGAGTTTTGCATCAGATTTCTACTGCAGTGGAACAGATTGGTCCTGCTTGTTGCCGGAAAATGGGGGCGATTATCATGGTGAAGTATCTTGCGATGAGAAGCCTCCAATCTCATCAGAGAAGAAGCTGAAGCAGGCAGATTTATTTCAGATGTGGGGATTGGGGAAGAAGAAGCAGCGGCTAATCAATCCCCAAGACCAGCGCACTGCTCTCTCCAGCTTTCTTCTACCTCCTTCCAATACCGACAAAATACTGAAGACTGCTAATTTTGCTACTTTCCCAGAAAAGACATCTCCTTCCCATGCTCTGTCAACGGATATAAGGAAGAGAGTCAGGGGGCCTCCCCAAAATGGGAACCGTCATTGTCCTTTCTACAAGAAAATTCCAGGTCTCCTTTTGCAGTCATTTTATTTACTGGCTTTCTCTTCGTTTTCTCAATTTGAAGATTGGGTTTTTGCTCCTGCAGGAACTCCCTTCACAGTGGACGCCTTCCGTTATGGGCGTATTCAAGAGTGCTCTGCATATTTCCTTACCCATTTTCACTCTGATCACTACGGTGGACTTACCAAAGCCTGGCCTCACGGTCCCATATATTGCAGCCCTCTCACTGCCACGCTTCTTAGGATATGTCTCTCTGTCAATCCATCGTTAGCACTTGCTTTCTTCTCACTGTATTTCCATTCTCTTTTTTTCCATAGACAAAAACAGCATTATAACACGGAAACAAACATTACCTTCCTCTTCAATTGAACTACTTTGTGCATATGGTTTCTTCTTACAATGTTGCATGCATGCAGGCTAATGCATCCATTGGAATTAAGTATAGAACATTGTATTGAAGGAATCAAAGTAACTTTACTGGAAGCCAATCATTGCCCGGGGGCTGTTCTTATCCACTTCCGTCTTCCAGATGGAAAATGCTATTTGCATACTGGAGATTTTAGGGCTTCTAAACAGATGAAGACTTACCTTCCGCTAGTAAACCATCGAGTTAATGTGCTTTACCTAGATACAACATATTGCAACCCAAAATACAAGTATGAATCTTTTGCACAGGAATTCTTTCCTCTTTTGTTAAGTCTGCTTCTGTGCTTTTGAATTCCATTAGACTTAAACAATATCTATTTCTTCAGGTTCCCGTCCAAAGATGAAGTATTAAGTTATGTTGTCAAAGTCACCGAGGCCTGCCTCAAAAAGCAACCCAAAACTCTCGTAGTAGTTGGGGCATATAGCATTGGTAAAGAATGTGTTTATCTTGCCATTGCCAAGGCATTAAAGGTGTGTTGTTTGGTCTATCTTTCTCTATATAATCAGTTCTTTATACTACTTGTATTCTCTCTATTTGATATGAAAATTTTCATATGGGTCTCATCACGCACTCATTAGTGGCATTTGGTAACACTAGCACGTTTCTACAAGTGCAACATATTAAATTTCATGTTTCAAACACGTATTTAGAAATTTTAGTGTTTCTTTTCCTCAATAAAAGAAAAAGAAAAGTAAAAATTTCATGGCTTTGTGAATAGGTCTCAGTTTCAAAGTTGCTAGAGCAAGCAATTTCAAATGCCTCTATGATTTTGTGGCTTTTTTTCATATGAGATACTTGTCTTTCTACTTTGCAACATTGCTGCAGACTGCCTGCTAAAAGAAGTTATAGATTCCCCTGCCATGACATAACAAAATAATATGAGCTTTGAACCTATTCACAAGATTTAAACATAAAAGTGAATTATATATTAGATAAAACTTACTGTAGCACAAGCACCATGGTACAAACTACATTCAAATGTGTTTCAGGTTAAAATATTTGCAAATGCTTCAAGGAGACGGGTTCTAAAATCTTTTGGTTGGCCTGATCTGTCTGGGAGCCTTTGCACAGATGGAAAACACACACTTCTTCATGTGCTTCCCATCTCATCTCTGCGGTTTGAGGTACTTTACTGAGACCTCATCATGATATTTCAGAACATTGTTTTCTTCTCTACAATTTTCATTGTATTAACTACGTTCTTTTTTCTTTAATTTCCTCTCAAGAGCTTGAGAGACTACTTGAAGACGTATAAGAATCAATACACAGCAGTTTTGGCATTTCGGCCAACAGGTGTTACAATCTAAGCCCCTGACACTCTTAGAGTCATTATTCACATGCTGGCCACAAATCCCTGAAGTTCCTTGGAAGCTTGTTTAATTTCTTCATTTCCCAGGTTGGACTTACTCTGAGACTGTAGGCAACCAACTTGATCGAATTAGACCCAGTTCCAAAGGCAATATCACAATTTATGGTGAGTTGAATTTAGGGTCCAACTTTGGTTTATACCGAATGTTATACTCAAATATAACATTATTGCTAAAATTGATAATGATGATAATATAGTGTATTGCTAAATGTAGGACCCTATTGTATTTTATGTTTTTGTATTCTTATGTTGTTCTTTAACAGTACCTTGTTATTGGATTATGATTGTCTAACTTTAAAGTCTACATTCTACAGGAGTTCCATATAGTGAGCACTCAAGCTTCACAGAATTACGAGAGTTTGTTCAGGTTTGATTCTGGAACCCAACAATCATATCAATTCTATATATTTGGGAAGCATCTCCGTGATTTACTCTGTCTGCATCAAATATTTGCTCTAGGTTCTTCTCTGTCCTTCAGTAATCCAAGGATTTATAATTTTTCAGTTTTTGAGACCTGAGAAGATAATTCCTACTGTGAATGTTGGGAATGCTGCTAGTCGAGACCAGATGCAATCCTACTTTCGGGAATGGCTCAGAAACTGAAAATTTTCAATTCTGGTAAATTGAAAGTTGGACATGCCAATATATGGAACTTCAGTCTCTAATTTGGTGAAAGTCGACTCTATATGCATGTTGAACATCATGTGAGTGTAAGCAAACCATTGAAGATTTAACATAGGCGTGGGAAGAACAAATTGGTTGGTAGACCAATAACAGAAACAGTCAAAATTGGTGAGTAGGCAAATGTTTTATATGAGCGGGAACCAATAGAAATATAAATAAACTTGTAAGCGAAATCAAAACAACTATGTAAAAGATTCTGAATATATTCAAATTCAAAATCTCTCCTCTCTAATATCTCTCTTCTCTCTTCTCTCTTCTCTCTTCTTCATCTTTCTTTTCTCGCATCCCTACTCCCTCACTCCCTTGAAGTTAGATGTCCAAAGCTTCTGATGCTGTGTTCCATGTCAAGTATCTTTCCATGTGTCTTCTGAGGCTTAGTTACATTTATCTTATCATACAGCAAAACAATTTGGCGAAAACGCTTTCCTTGTTGCTCCAGGATGGGTTTTTGTTTGACAACCTTGTCCATGGGAGATGTGCATAAAACAAGGCTTCGAGGAGAGAGTTTAGATGAAGTTTTTGTTTTTGAGGTGGATGAGCAGAAGAGGTTTGATGCTTAATTCTTATGAGATGGCAAGTGGTCATAAATTTTCTTGACAGCAGAAATGCAACTTCCTAGTAATTGGCTTATTGAAGTGCGGAAGTTCCACGTTTTTTAAATTTCATCATATTGTGCTGCTGGCCGGTTGTCATAGTTCTGTTGAATCAGGGCCCGGCCAACTGATTACCTTAACATTGCTGGACACTAAAGGTGAAAAGACAACGATGCATCAAAGTTAATTTTTTGTAAACCCATATATGTAGATATAAATAGCATGATTACTTATTTTCTTGCATCTCTTACTCTCAACTTTTCTTTCAGCTTTGTATATATTGCTCCAACCGAAATGATAGAATCAATCAACTACTACAACTACATGGAATATCACGTTATTCAACTGTCGAGTGCAGCTACCCCAAAGGTGATCGATTGCATGCAAGCAGGGACATAAAGTTACCTCATTTACATATTATTCAAAGACCTGTTTTGCCGCCGATCACCCCTAATTTGCAGCCCCAATACAACAGCAGGTTGCTACTTGAAGCAAGAATATTCCCTTCACAGACACCCAGAGAAGCAGAGCAGGGATGCCTCCACGGCCACTAGGTGGAAATGGTCATGATCCTTGAGAGTGAGGAGGTGACTCTAACCACAACAACATGGAATTGGCATCCTACTGATTATCATTTTTTGTTTTTCTGTTCCATAGCTTGATTAGGCATTATTTACCTCAATAATTTCTTAAATCAAATTGTATAAATGTTATTTTCTTTAATAATTTAATAAAAATAAACTATTTAGATATTTTTTTAATTTAATTTTAACTAGAATTATATTTAAAATTTTTAAGATTTCCTTCTAAAAGTTAACAGTCAATGATTGAACTAGAAATTTTTTAAAAAGTAAGATTAAAATAGCAAAAAAATTAATATATGAACCAATTTAAAAAAAAAATTTAAATAGTATAGAGACCGATTTAGTATTCGGCCATACTTTTGGTCCAAATTTTTACTTGTTACAAATCTTCTAGCAGGTTACACTATAAAAATTTATCCAATACCAGATTTTGCACCATCAAACATGGTCACTGGATATAAGCAAAGCATTACCTTAAACTTGATAAGAAGCATAATCAATCTACAAAGTACAGATAAGGCAACACTCAAGTTCTAAGATGTCATTCAATTGAATGTCAAGTGTATCAGTACATGATGCCAAATGCTATTTTCTTAGTTGAACATTATATATTAGATTTATTTTCTTCCCTTCAGAAAATACAATGCGCTAAAAACCTATTTTAACTTCACAACCAGCAACAATCAGCAGCCATGCTTCCTTTTACAACCTACAACATCAAAATCTCTCTACACAAATTCCAACCATTGTGGAAGCCAGGGTCCCTAGTGCCCATGGATTTGCTGTCAAAGGTTGTAACTACTGAAGTTATAATAAAATCACTCTTACTCGTCCCCAAAAGAACACCTTTTTCTTCAATGACTGTCTGAATTATCCAATAATTGATTGATAACTAGAATCTAGAGAGGTAGTCCTGCCAAACTCTGCACTACAATTTCTTGGCCTATCTTTGCTTAGGTCGACAAAAAGATGTAAGCCATGACATTTTTTTTTAAGAAAGTGCCCGAAAGAAGCATAATGCATTCTTCAATACTCTTCTTAGAAGCCTCTGTCTCCATCAATCTCACATTCTCTTGACTCAAAAAGTAAGTATTCTAAACCTAAGATCTTCATAACACATGAGAACAACGTCCTCTCCTTCAGCCAAACCCCGCAACACACAATTATAAATAAATCATACTGTCCATAAGGTTTCTAGGCCCAGCCATGAATCAACATGACATATGATATGATTACATCAAAGCTTTTACTTGTTATTCTTCGAATAATCATGAAAGAAAAGTGCTAAGACACAAGAAACGGAGTAAAAACAAGAAATCATATAATAGCTTCTGTGGCAATCATCAACACAAAAAAGGAAGTGCAGAAAAGTTGCAAATAAGTTTGAAGGAAAGAACAAACTTTTTTCTTATACACAACAAAATCTCTCAGTCAGAAGGTTACATAATTCCCCATCTCCTAAACTAACAACCCTTCAGATCAATTACCACGGGCAACTCTAACCCAGAGCAAAGACTTCATTTTTGATGGGGAAAAGAACAAAAGAAAGATAGAAAATCTTGGTGTGAAGCTAAAAAGATAAGAGAAAAAGCATACAGTAAGGGAGGGATCAGGACTGAGTGCCGGTCAATGCCTTCATCTGGATGTGATTAGTATCGGTAGCATTGGTAGGCAAAGCCTCGTACGATCCCAATCTCTTCATCCCGACACACCTAGCAACAAAGGCATAGGTAAGGAAGAGGATGAGGGCCAGGAACAGTACATGGAGGAGAAAGAGGAGATCCAAGATGGCGACAGCCCTCAACCCGGACACTTCCGGATCGCACTTGGTGGAGCTCTCAACGCCGCTGACGACATCGAGCAGACGGTGGCAACCTTCGGGGATGAAGGCGTCGACGTAAAGAGAGAGGCCGGTTTGGAGCTCCCAGAGGCCGTGCAAGCAGATGGAAAGAGCAAGGGCGGCATCGGCGACGAAGAGCTTGGGGCGAAACGCGAGGATGAGGCAGAGGAGGGAGGTGAGAGCGGAGATGCGTGCTGAGAGAGAATCACACTTGGCCTGGAGAAGGGAGGTCTGGAAGGAGGCAGCGGAAGCGGAGGATGAATAGTGAAGGAAGAAGGAAGCAGAAGCTAGGGCAAAGAAGAGATCGTGAGGAAGGGGAAGGAAGGGAGTAGATTCGGAGAGGAGGAGAGCCAACGCAAGGAGGAAGAAGAGGAAGAGGACAGCAGCGGAGAGAAGGGAGGAAAAGCGATGGACGGGAGTGCTGCCTTTAATGAGGGGGTCAGAGTCAGAGGAGACAAAGATTTGGTGGGCGATGGAGATGAGGAGGCAGACAAGAATGAGGTAGAGTTGCAGGTGCTTAAGGCGAGGATGATGATTAGTGGAATTGTTGGAGGAGGAGGAAGGAGAAATGAAGAGAGGAGGGAAGGGATGAAAGAGCTTGGCGGAGAACGATTGCGGGGATTTGAGGAAGTTGCGGGTGGTGCAGATGAGATGGTAAAGACCCAGTAAGAATAGTGAGGAGAAGGTGAAAAGCTGATATATGAAAGCCGCCATTTTTGCTTCCAAGTTGTAACCCACCCACGGGATCAGATCGATTGAGCAGAGGATTTTCAGGGTATTTGGTGTTCGCTACAAATCCTGAATACTGAATAGAACTCAACACCAAAACAACACCGCCCATCGACCATCGATAATTAATTATTATTCTTTTGGGGGAATGGATTACACAGCTCGCAGGCCCAATACTATTCCCGCTTCGGATCAATGTCTTCCATCCACCCAAACCAAAACCAGCTTTCCTTGGTTAACCTCGAGTCTCAGTACAGTTAAGCTATCATGTTCAAGGCAATGGTTGATGATCAACACAAGAAAATTTCATTACATTACCAATAATAAATGTTATTTGTCTTATCCCACACAAACCATACCAACAACTTCCCTCCTGTCTGTCTCTGACTTCTCACAAGTCACAACAATCAAATCTCTTCCCTGGTTTATACACTAGCACATATTCAGAAACAGCAATTGCACTCCCAATAAAAACCATGATAAACTGAATGCGCCTCTCATCCAAGAAACATTAACATTACATTTACATCATGTACTTGGGAAAAGAACAGAATACACAACACAAAATTTCATCTCCAAAATCCTCAATGCCCCATCAACCATATATCCTGCACTTTGAATGCTGCTATAGTATAAGCACCAGGAGAACAATAACCAATATCAATCCGAAAACCACCAACACCCACCAGCACTGCAACCAAAAATACTTCATTAGGGGAATCTAACATCCAGGTCTTTTACAAAACTACTGACAGAACCAAGGAAACCTAAAATCATTCAGTTATGTAATGCACCTATAAAACTCTCTTCACAAATAAAACATTTGTAACGTACAATTAAATTTTCTTCTTGGTTAGGCAATGCAATTTTTTTTCTTTTGCTTCCTACTAAACAGACTTTTGCAAATAGTGACAGCTTAATTATGCAAAGGACTCTGCCCACATCCCTTAATTTTGGCATGCCTTGCTTATAATGTACTACCTACTCATCATTTTGAACTCTTTTCCCTTGCGCATCTATTTACCCATCATTAACCAAAGGAGTTAAATATAGTTCTATTAGCAATTGACGAAATGCGTCATTCCAGGAGGGAAATTCAAACCTTTCGATGGGACTCAGCAACCAGCCAGTCTCTAGAACAAATACAGGTTATAAGATAACAAACTATTTTTGAGGAAAATACAAATTATTATAAACAAGCCACCCATGTAGGAAAAATGAATTTAGTAGGCCAACCCAACGGGAATTTACAGCTCACTCGAATTGCATGGGTAATAGGCCAACCGTAAGAACAAGCTCAACATCAAAAAATTTTAGTAGAATAAAATCACATGGTGAAAGAATTTGATTGGATTCCTTCAAGGCAATCAACCTGCTACAGGAGAAGGCAACTACATTCCAATGCTAACTACTACTAACATTTTCCATTTGTCTATCTTCATTCATCCAAGAGAACTAGTTCAAATCGCTGTAAGAGATTTTGGTGCCTATTTGAAGAGTTTACTTCTTACCCATGAAGTACGGGATTTTACACTTTCTGAAGCCTTGGCTAAGAGAACTTTAGATTGTGCTGATGCAGCAGAGGAAGCATCAATGTTGGATCGGACATCATCTGTGATACAAGTAAACAAAATCCCCATTAACGACAAGGCAAACAGCCAATACTGATACAAGCCATCCTCGTGGCATCGGGCATCTTACCTATAACCACATGCTGATCATGAACCAAGACAGCAAGGTCCTTGAATATATCATTTGCTTCTACAATTTGTTGTTCTATGTCTCTAATGCCTTGTTCCCTTTCCTCCATTATGGCCTCGTTAAATGAAATTTCATTATCCAGCAGAAGTATCTCCTGCCTGAATGTTTCAGTTCAAGAAAATTTATTTCAAATGAAGACCAGTAGATAGATTGATTTCATTATCCAGCAGAATTATCTCCTGCCTGAATGTTTCAGTTCAAGAAAATTTATTTCAAATGAAAAGCAGTAGATAGATAGTCACAAAGAGACAAACAATGAGATAAATTCTTGGACACACTTAACCGGTAGAGACCAAAGACTTCAGTAAAGACCAAATGAAAATGCAAGTCTTGGTGGTATTCAATTAAATCCGAAGGAAATAGGAAATTTCGGTTAGCAGAAAAGAGGAAATGTAGTTTAAGCAACTGACAATTTCCAGACAGTAGGTGAAGAAATTGTTATTCTTTCTAATGATCATATGTGGAAAAGCTAAATTAACAAATAATGACGCTATGATCGAGATATTTTAGGGCAAAAGAGAACGAAAAAATGGCTGATCGGAGTACCTCTTCACTTCCATAAGAAAAGGCTGGGTATCCTGCACCACTGGATCCTCGGAAGGATGAGCAGAAGCAGAGCTACATCCAGAAAGCACAAATTAAGTTAGGAAATGGAATGAGATAAGAAAGCAATCCAGAAGAAGTAAAGAGACGTGTCATGTATGGTATACGTTGGTGGTAGGGAAGAAGATGGAGGAAGAGAAGGCGCGTAAGTGGACTCGCGCTCAGAGGCAAGCTGCTGAACTTTCTGGAATTCCTGCAAACTGGTCTGAAAATCTCTGGCAAGCTTGGCATCCTCAACTTTCTTATTGGCCTGCAACATCCATGGAGGAAGTGAGAAAGAGCTAAAGTTAGGGCTTGATATGAAAGAGAGTGAGAGGAAGTGGAGGGGGAAGGTTACACTGATACTGGGGCCATGATCGGATTCGGTCAACAATTTGAGCTTAGCAGAGGTGTCTTTGACCAAATGAAGAATGCGTTGCCTGGTTTTGTGCCTGCGGAATGGAAGAAGCAACGGACTTCACTCTAAACAAGCGACAGAGAAGAGGAAAGCAATAAGAGAATATGGGGAGAGAGAGAGAGAGAGAGAGAGAGAGAGAGGGAGAGAGAGAAGAGACAGTTTCTGGCGATGATCAGGGGTGTCCTTGGAGGTTCCGATAGTATCGACGAGACGACGGAAGGCAGCAACGGCGGTGTTGATCTGGAAAATTCCGGCGGCAACGACTTGAGCTGGGTTCTTAGAAGGCATTGGTGAAGAGGAAGGAGATGGGTTGGTGCCATTCTGAAAATCTTGGAAGCTCATTTTGGTTCCTCCTGTAGTGGGTTGGTTTTGATTAGAACGAAAGAGAAGAGGGTGATGTTAGTGGGATGGCTCCACCTCCATGGAAACAGGAGGAAGAAGAAGAGGAAAAGAATTTGTGGGAAGCAAGAGAAAAGAAGTACTAAATGAAGGAAGGAATAAGGAGTGGGGAAAAAGTGAGATGGGGAAGAAGAAAGTGGAAGTGAAAAGGAGAATGACAGTTGAAAGCATAGATTTGGTTGGAGGGAAGTGAGATTGGTGGTTTCCAGTTGGTTTGTTGTGTTTGGAGTTGAGGAGATATGTAGTGCTCTGTCCTATCATCCTTGGAATTTTGTCAGTCCGGGGAAAAATAAGTGATTTTCGTTAAACAAGTTCTTTTAGTTGTGATCAACTATTTATTGGTTAAATAGAGCCTGGAAGTGTGAATTTAAATTCTGAACTGTATATATTCAGTTATAGTATATGTATATATAGGTAAAGCAGTTCTCTTTTCATATCATCTGTATATTCTTATTTAAAAATCCAATCTTTTCAATAAAAAAGTGTCAGACATTTCAATTTGAACTTACAAATCTCCAAACCAAATGTCATTTTGGTCTCAACTCATAATATAAATAATAATTATATTACATTATATTATTTAAGTATGTGTCATCATCCATGAATTTATTTTAAACATCTTCAAATTTAGCTAACATTTGAAACCATTAAACCAAGTGATCAATTATTGCATCAAATTAAAATTTATTTTTAAAAAAGAAAAATGAATAACTTCATTTTTTTTAGTTTGCATCAATGGGAAACAATTATATAATGCTTTTATTGAATTTAAATAATCAGATAAAATACAAGTTATGTACCGAGTCTCCTAGAATGCACCTTACATCTGTTTATCTTCTTATAACTTCATTCCTAGCTGGTTATACAATATGTAAACAATTCAGAGTGTATTCCAAGTATACAAAATAATGGCACACCCTCTTTTTTCTTACATCTATCTAAAATCTGGAACCATTATAAAGTGACTGCCTTCTTCCTGAAGTCTACGGATTTCAGAAGACTATTTTCTATGCAATGTATCAAATAATCGACAACAAAAATGATCACCCCTTCTGCACCTCAAGAGGACAAACACCAAACCCTCACGAACAAGAGATTCATCGTGGCTAACCAACAGTCCTTTTACTATAGCAGCCAGTTAGAATGTAAGTGTAAGTTCATTATGTTGCTTGCTTTCCCTCTTATGTCCTGCGAGAAAAGGAGAGACACGGCCAATCAGAAAAACTACTAATCACAACAAAACAAGCTCAATCATTTGTGCTTTTCCTTACCTGGTAAAGTGCTTAGGTACATCTGATTACATCTCACCATCACCAAATAAACTATTTTTCTTGACAGAATTTTTGTATTACTATACAAGGGCATCTCAGCTTTGAAAGACCATTACGGTACCACCAAGAAGAATCAATCGGTGTGTGTTCCCTCTGCGTGAACTCCTAAGTACGGGCTACACAATGTTTAGGAAGATAAACAGAGTGCCCCCTGAATAAGGATTCTAATATTTGATGAGAGCAGGAAGTGAAGCATGAAGTTCAGCCAAGCATTGGAAGATCCAATTGAGTAGTTGTTCTCTTGGTAGCTCCAAAAGAAGTTCTGCCTGCAACATAATTGAAACATAAACATGTGGACGGGTGACCCAGAACTAAACATTTCAAATCAATCATTGTGAAAGCAGCAAAAGAACATGTAAACCCAAGGGCAATTATTATTTTCAAAAATAAAAGGAGGATATTATTAGGAGAAAAAAGTGAGTAAAAAGAGCAAAGAAAGCTTTCCTCTTAGCAAAAAGAAAAAATAAATACAAGTACAAAAAGAAAAAAAAGAAGCACATCAATATAAAATAGCCTCTAAAGTACTTTGTATAGTTGACAGAGGCAACCCTGAAAAAACACATGCACCGTAGCCCACGAAGAGGCCACGCACATCCTTCTCTGTCAATACACTGTGTAGAGTTAATATATGTCGTATAGATCCAGGTTTTTCGCTCCAATCATAAAACCTAACATCCAGCAAAAAGGTAACAACCATAACACTACATGCTCTTCTTCACACAACCCTTCAAACGGGCCATTGTGCAATTATGAAAAATATGCAAAAGGTTGAAATCTCTAGTTCCCAAGAGTCATGTTGTCAAATGGGTTGTGTTGGGCTACCACAACTCACAATAGGCACTGGGCCCGCTGAATGGTAGGCCATGCAATGCCTAGCATGGCCAGTGATCATGTTAGCCTGAGTTCTGGCCCAGTATGGTCTAGGCACACATGGGTTAGGCCCCAACAGGGTACTGCCATTAACAAGAGAAAAAATATTTCGAAAGAGAAATAGCCAAAAACATTATCAATAAGGTCCCAATTTCTTCTTTATTCCCAAGGGGATGACCTTTAAACAAAATATATAACGTCTGAAAACAGAGACCACTATTCCTAGAAAGCTAGATACTGATTGATTTAATAACCTAAAAGTAAGACATTTGGTGAAACGTACAGCAAAACTTGTTGAATATGGTTAGGAGTCAAAGGCATAGGCTTATTATTTCCTCCCTAACATTCGTTAGTCCCCCCAAAAAGACGTTGGACCTCCAGTCAAGTTCTCAACCAAGTCAAGTGACCATACTTAGCTTCAGAGTTGAAGCACGCAGCTTCCATGACTTCCTCACCCCAAGATATGCAAACTTCCTGGCATGAAAGGTGCCAGGTATATTCTCTCCCTTAATGAGATAAATAGGCAGGACACAAAAACCAAATACAATTATTATTCATATGTAAATTACCTTTATTTGATCTCCCTCGAAAACCAAAGTATTTCGGTAAACATCAGATGTCATAGAATCTGTTATAAGCTTGAAGACCTTTTTACTCATCTTTGTTCTCATGCCAACCATTTTTCCTGAAGCATAAAGTCTGGTAATCCCAAGATCTGCTGCCATTCGCCTTACATAAAGCTTCTTCAATAGAATTTCCATTGAATATGGCTCTTTTCCATATTGGCGGCGTAGGTTCTCAGTGAATTGCATCAAACTCCAAATATCATTCTCAGCAGCCTCCTCAGCTTCGTTGATGATTTCCATGGGGTTCTCCAGATAATTAATGTACTCAGAAGGAAGACGAGGGTTTATATTTATATCAATCTGACATTTAAAAGCCCCAGCTAAACCATTAAAATCCACAAAATTCACTGTGCCACATTAATGTAATTTCAGTTTAATACTCAACATTACACATCCATAAACAGCAAGAACTGAATTTTAACAAAGTTAAGATAATATTCTTGAAATATTTTAATGAGCATTTTGGAGAGTGGAAAAATACCTGTACTGACTGATAAGGAACAGATACTATGCAATGCTCGTCTACCTTTAAAGAAAAGAAAAAGAAACTGAAGCCAAGACAAGCCAATTGTACCAGTCTAGAAGCATAGCTCATCAACCCGAAAGAAAGTGAACCAAAAGCTAGAAGATACCTTGGACAAACTTTCAAAAAGCATTTCAAAGAAGAGATCGACGCCCACATTTCCTACATCTCCTGTCTGTTGCTCACCGAAGATTGTACCAAAGCCTCTAATTCCCATGTCCCTTTCTGCAAGTTGGAAACCTTGACCCAGTTCACGACATTCTTCGAGAGCTGCAAGCCTTTCCTAAGCCCGGTGATAGCGTGAATGTTACTTTAACAACCATCTAATTATATATTAACCAATAACCTAAACGACGCTGACAGCAAAATGTATACCAATGCTTGCTCAGAAAGCAGTGACTTATCAGGATAGAATAAGTATGCATGAGCTTCCTTATCTGCACGGCCCACCCTTCCACGCAGCTATCAATATGAAAATCAACAGATGAATAACTCCAAAAAGGTTCCATAATCAACCAAAGTTGAAAACAAAGAAAGTGTAAAAACAAGAAAAAGATCCATGAATAGAGGCAGAAGAAAAATAGCAAGGTCTAACACATAAGAATGCTCATTAGCCTGAGATCTTGAAGGAACTAGAAGCCAATAGGAGAAGATATGATAACTCAAGAAGCTTATGAGAAAAGAGAGAACATATTCATTCATGATATCTATTCAAGAGAGTTCCAATTGTTGTTCTTCCATACACGTTGAACAACATCAGGAAGCAGGAAAGGGAAAAAAGATATACCTGATACAACTGTGCTAGACCAAATTGTTGAACATCCTGAATTATGATGGTGTTTGCATTCTGAATATCAAGCCCACTTTCTACGATATTTGTGCATATAAGAATCTTAATTTCACCTTGTGCAAATCTCTCCATTGTATCCTCAAGTTGCTTCGAATATTGCTGCAGATAAACAAAGTTGCCTCAGACACAGTAGAGACACAAATGACTGAAAACAAACTGATGATTAGCAACATGGAAATTTATGATCATATTTAACTAATGGTGACATTGCAGTTTTGTATACCAAGGCCTACTTTTAAAAACTGTTTAGCCCACAGCTCCACCACATAAAAATGTAAGTCAAACTATGAAAGGATAAAGGAGAGAGAACCACCTTCCCATGTGCAATAGCTATGTCAATATCTGGAAATGATTGTTCAAGAAAATCCATCACTTCTTCAAGGCCTGCTCAGTGAGAGGAGCACAAAATACAAACAAGAAACCAAAAAACAAAAAAAAGAACACAAGAAAACTTAGAAGAATATTATATATAACTCACTTCGCTCTATTTCATTGATGTTAAATAATCCTTATTTGGTTTACTCTCTACACAAAATGACATTTAAAAAAAAAAAATCCAAATCCAGAAAATGATGAAACACTGGAAGCATACGGCACAACATTACACATGAGCAAAGAGATTCACAAAGGACATAACAAATCATGAAGTTACCTTTAATTCGAGGCAAAACATAGAAAACTTGGCCTCCACGATCCAATTCATACTTTATCGCTGCTATTACCTTCTCTTTACCAGATGCTGAAAGATGTGTTCTAATAGGAACCCTTTCTGGAGGTGGAGTTGAGATTAAACTGAAAATAGAAGGGATGAAAAGTTAAGATAAATTTTTGACTGAAGTCTTCAGATTTGTCATAAAAATACTTATTTCTTTGCTTTCAGATCTCTATTTAAGTCCCCTCCCCTCCTCCCCACCTCTGAAGTTAAACAAATACCATCAACAATGTAGAAAAGTGATGCCGTAATACAAGAGTTTATCTGATTTTATGAATAGAATTAATCTAAAACCAACAGAGCTTGATCCCTACAGCATGATACCAGTTTGATGAATCTAGTCAAACAAATGTTCCCAAGGGACTTGATTTGAAACTCAGTAAATCAAATCAATCGTAATCCAGAGAACACATAAGGCTTCGAAGTAATCTATGAGTTTCCGATATCCTTATATATGGTTATGATATCTGCTCATGCTTTAGTTGCCAAATGCAGTTGTTTTCACTTTAAATGTGAGGGGTAAATATAATGCTCTGAGAGCAAACACTACTAGTTCAATAACCTTTCAAACATAAACCACTTGTTCTCAATAGGTTAAGTTAAAATTATTGGTGGTATGTGACTTGAACTTTTAGATAGTGCTTAATAATCACACATCTTTCCTACTTGAGACTGAAGTATCACAATAAATCTTAGGATATGATACTTAAAGGGAAACTTATTTCACTCTAGTCACTGCTTTTTCATCTTTTGGTGCTTGAAGTTCCAGACTCTTCCACCCACTGCCCTTGCTCACAAATTCATAATGGAAAACATAAGAAAATAGAAATCAGTAGCAATTAAGAAAATTGAATCACCATCCAGTATTACCTAGCATCACGAAATCCAGTCAGTGCAAGATAAAGTGTTCTTGGAATAGGTGTTGCAGAGAGAGTAAGAACGTCAACCGAAGTTTTGAAAGAAGCAATCTTCTCCTTCTGTTTTACACCAAACCTCTGTAGAGCAAAACATGGCATAAAGTGAAGCCTTGTTCTGAGGAACATGCATGGAAATCAAAAGTTCGGCAAAACAACAAACAAAGATTTGATGGAAACCTGTTCCTCATCAACCACTAGAAGGCCTAGATTATTATACACAACACGACTTCCCAAAAGTGAGTGAGTCCCCACTATAATGTCGAGACCTCCATTTCTTATCATATTCAAATGCTCCTCTTTCTCTGCCCTGGTCTGCACTTTGTAATAGGTACGATCAATCCCCAAAAAGAGAAAATTATGAATTACTGACCGAGATAACAATGAATTGCATTAATTACACATTGTGCCAAACAACAATCAACACAACAAATGATGCAAATCTTAGTATCAGCATTAGATCATGAGAATACATAAATATGAACCATATATCACCGACAAAATTACAACAAAATAGCTGTTTACTAAAAGGAAATAGATGAATAATGCACAGCAAGTTCTTATACCTGAAATCGACTCAAGAGTCCAACTTTAATATTAGGATACTTGGAAAACCTCTCTGAGATAACATCAAAATGTTGTTTGGCCAAAACGATAGTTGGTGCCAAAACCATTGCTTGCTTCCCTGCTGAGACAACACAAAAGATGGCACGTAGTGCAACCTCAGTTTTACCAAACCCAACATCTCCGCATATTAATCGGTCCATTGGAGTTTCTCTTTCTGTCAAATCCCTCTCAACATCAATGAATGCCTGTGGCAGGGTTCCAATTTATTAAAAAAGAAACCACAAGATTGTGAAAGGAACAAAATATCCCTCCCATCTACCTGTGTACACAAAGGGCAGAACCGAAGACCAAAAAAAAAATGTGAACGGTAAAAAATGAGTAAAGCCTTCCAGGTCAGTGAAAAGAGAAAGTGAGGACAGTGAAAAGGATCCTAAGTTTTGAAGGGAAAATCAATTTTCAAATTCACTAACCAATCTTGGAGCAAATAAACATCACTCAAGCTAGAGAGGGATCAAAATAACCTCAGAAATGCGAGTTATTCTACTTAACACCACAATTTTGACAAATTTTTTAGGTTACCTGTTTTTGATCCACAGTAGGCTCATAAGGAAATTGGGCAGCAAATTCAGCCATGGCAGGACTCTTTGGATAGGGAGGTCTCTTTTGTTTCAGTCTGTGTAAATACAACTCCATTAGATCCACAACCATTTTCTGAATAGCAACCTTTCCTTTAATCTTTCGTTTTTCCCATACGCTAGTGTCACTCAATTTGCTTAGTGTTCGAGGCCTTTTGCTTTCATTTGGTCTAGCAAAAGAATATAATATGACATCAAGATTTAACCAAATTATGAAGATGAATACAATATGTTCAATGAAAATAGAACACTAGAACAAAGTTCATAATCACTCCTGACAGAATGTCAATTCTCCACCTCCACTACTTAATGTAGAGGCAGCACCCTGCTCCCTTTCCTCACGCTGGATAGACATCTCAGTTTCAGGGCTTTCTGCAATCTTCCTTACTATTAGAAAGGAAAAGGAGAATGATTCTCCTGCAAAACTATTTTCAAGAAAGGTCTTCGACACTTCACTCCCTTCAAACATTATATTCATTTTGCAAACCGAGGAAGCAGATAAAGAGATCATAAGCACGGAAAGAAAAAGATACTAGAAAAAATTCAAACCTACAGATTGTATCGATAGAGAAAACGAGACGCCTGCTTAACAGGAAGCTTTGCCATGCCATCTGCATACTCTATGAAGACGTATTCAATGGGCTCCGAGGAGCCCTTTTGAACATCGAACTTGATTCCAACAAACCGCCCAACACCCACCTTCTTATGCACGACATAATCGCCGGAACGAAGAGTATACGGGTCAGCCTTGTAGCTAAAAGCACTTCCATCTCTTCCTCCTTTCCCTTCCTTATTCCCCTTGAGCTTCTGCAGTCCCTTCTGCTGCTGCTCCTTCACCATCTGAATGTACTTGTCCGCCTCCTCGGAGTCCATTACGGGCCTCGTTAGCTCCCTCTTGCCCTGCTCCCGGCGAATCCTCTCGTTAAGGACTGAAATGGAGTCGCTTTCCGTTTCGATACCCTCTCTTCGTTGAGCTGGCCTACCAGTGATAGTGGCTCCAGAGACTGAGAGACCCATTTGTGTGTTAATCGCATTGATGAGAGGAAATAGAGGCTTTTGTCTGCGCTTGTAAAGGGTAGGAGACCTGACAACGAAGACCTTCCGTAGCTGCGGAGAAGAGCTGAGCTTGGCGAGTAGAGGCAGGCGAGGTTTTGGGAGAGGAAAAGCCATGGACGAAAAAGAAGAAAGAAGAAGTGGAGGGGAGTTCAGGAGAAGAAGAAATTGAGAAGGTTGGGCATTTTGCGAGGATGGCAGTGGTTGTGGATAATCAGGAGAGGTTTTAGAGAGGTTTACCGTTTTAGACACAAAATGAGATTCTCCATAGCACTCAGATATTTTCCCGCAGACTCCGAATAAGACGTGGAAGAAATGCTACTACTAGAACAAAAAAAAAAACCAGATTTTTTCTTTTTTACTTTTACGTTTACTTAAAAGAGATTTACTGGTAAACAGATTTTCTTGGTAATTTTATCTGCAGATGTTAGAAATTATAAATTTTTATTATCTGCTAGAAATAACTTTTTAACTCATATAAACTGTAATATCAATATATATATATGAATTTTTGTATATTAGTTATTTCTGGATAAATTACTCGATCAAAAATTGTGAATTTGATTTAATAAAGTAATTACAGATAAAATCCACCATTTAGATAATTACTAATTCTCAAATTGATAAACAATAGAGACAACTCTATTTTTATTTAAAAATCAACACTTTAGAAGTACAATTGATTCTGAAGAATAAATTGAAGTCTAACACAGCAGATAGACGTGTAGAAAGAGAGAGTTCCCTTGTAAAAAGAAAACAACTCTTCGGATTAAAATTGGTCCTCAAGCCAATACCATGATATTTGACACCCACAAAATCTGTAAAGCCATCGATAAAATTATGGCAACCGTCATGCTGGACATCAAGGACAAGAAGATATTAGCGCCAGAAGAGTTTCTCGATTCCGGATAACCTGAAATACAAATTAGATCAAAATTAGTGTCAACCATCTCATAATCTATTGCCTACTCTCATGGGGAATAAGGCGACGATATTTATACAGACCTGTTATGCAAGCTAGCGGATTGACATGTAGTCCACATCTTGCAGGAAGCTGCTGAGCCTCGCTAATATTGATGCCGGCTTGCTCTACTTGATTGCTGCCCTGGTTGCTTACCATGTAACAGAAACACTCCGGGTTATGTTTGATGATAGATTTCAAGGGATCACAGCAAGAATCAGGCACGTCTTGGCTTCCCTGGAGGTGGTTGAGGCAAGGAAGAAGCTGGTTCAGGCACGCCGAGTCCTGTGCCAAAGTCTCCACAAACAAGTCGGCCCAGATTAAAGAAGCAATGGCATAACAAACCCACAAGTGCTTCATCTTCAAGTTTACTGTATCTTAGCTTTTCATCGTTCACCTTCTATATAAACGGTATGAAGGTTAGGGGTTGGTGATCCAACTTAAGCTTAGTAATTGACTTTGGCGTCTGGGAACTGCTTTGTTCTGGGGGGATGAAGTGATTAACAGTTGAATGAAGACTAGGGCAGGATGGCCGGTGGATGGGTTAAGCTACCACCAATAATGATCATATTCATAATGCATACCATCTTGTCTTGGCAGTATCTATGTCCAGAACCTAATTCCATGTATGTTCCAAAGCAAAATATCGTTTCAAGTCATTCGATTAGCGAGCTATGCAAAGAATTAGGAGAGGAAATAGATATCTTATATATATATATATAAAAGAAAATGATCCAAATGAAAAAGTTGACTACTTCAACTCAACACTCAAAGGAAAACACTAGAAAGAGTTCATATGAGTAGCTGTTGGGCAGCTTCTCACAAAAGCTTCTGTTCAGAAAAGGTCAACTTGGTTTATGTCATTCCTGCTCACAAAGGGAAAATATAAGGTTATCTATCAACCGATTCAAATCTACTGTCGAATTTTTAACCTCTAACAATTGTACAAATTACAAAAAAAAAAAAAAAATCCCACAATTCCATGCAACTGAGATAATAATGACTAATAATCTATACACATTTTCATTATTAGAAAAAATGAAAAGGAAATGAAACAAAGACCATGGGTACCTCTCTGCTAGACGCTACCCTTTCAAAAAGTAATTCATAATTCTACTGGTATCCACTAACTAAAGATTTTCCTTCAACTGGCTAAACATAGTATATCATGCCAACTTCAATGAGGCTGATGTGAGGAATGTTGAGTGCTACTGCAGGACCCCTACAGTTCTTTCGAAGAAATGAGTATCCAATATCTATTGCAAGCTTTTTCAGAAAAGATGAAGATTTCCTGGCTTTCACATACGAGTGGCCCATTATATATGCCACCCCAGCTTCCTTTGCCTGGATCAAATCCATAAGCTCTTCCCTGACAGCTGGATCCATTGCAGGACTTGACGGTAACTGAAACCGCACAACACGCCTCCTGATCTGTGGATTCTCATCCTCATAAATAGAACGCAAGCTCTGCAAGGTTAGAGACTTGCTGCTCTGGATAGAGTTGCTAACACCAAAATCCTCTAACTCAGAAACTATTAAGCTTGTGCTCGAGTTCAGAGTCGTGCTTATTACAGCCATCCTCCCATCATAGGATGATGCCTCTGAACTGGAATATTGTGACTCCCCTGCTTCCATCTGGATGAACTCTGCTATGCTCTGTATGAGCTGGTTCTCAAAGTCCCCATCATCCCGCTGGATATCCTTGTACCCATACCTTACAATGCACCTGTACATGCGATATGGTCTTGGACAAACCCGGCCAATGAGGAAGCGTTCCTGAGGAGAAACATATGGCACTGGAACTGATTTAACGCAAACAAATACCAACACTTTGTGAAATGCAGGGAGGTTTGTTACAAAGTGAGAAAAAATTGCCGGAACTCCTGTTGCAAGTTCAGAGTATATAAGACCTATCCCAGGAACACGAACAATACCGAGGCTTGGGCCCAAGCCCAGTAACCATTTTAAGGAAACTTTGTTGTGCAGATCAAAGTTGTACTTTTTGCGAGTTCCATAGTGCCAGATAAACATAACAATCACAAAAATGAATGACAACACAAGAGGCACCCATCCTCCCTGAGGCACTTTTGTGAATGCAGCTGACAAGTACACACCTTCAATGGTCCAAAAAAATAGAAGGAATGTTGCAGCCAGCAAAACACTTTTCTGCCAAACAAAGACTATGACAAGTGCCATAAGAAATGTTGTGATGAACATAACCGTCATGCAAGCAAGTCCTGAAAGCCAATAAACGAATATAAATCATCATATGATCACATAAAGAGAGGTAAATTAGAAGCTAAAGATATTATGGTATCACTTTACCATAAGCATTTCCTATCAAAGTTGTGTCTTGAAATCCTATTGTTATGGCAAGAGTAAGGATCATGAGGATCCAATTAATTTCTGGGATATAGATCTGTCCATATATATGTTTTGAGGTGTGAACAACTTTGACTCGGGGAAAACATCCAAGGGCATGGCACTGTTTGATGATAGAGAAAGTAGCAGTTATAACAGCCTGACTCCCAACAATAGCTGCCAGTGTTGCAATAACAAATACAGGCCAAAATACAGAATCTGCAAGGACAGAAGGCTAATGAAAAAAAAACACAGAATTATGTGCATATTCTCAAAGCGCATCAGTTAAAAAGGCAGAAGCAACTAACCAGGAATTGAGTCGAAAAAACTGTTAGGTATAGAACCAAGGTTTTTGGACAAGAATGCAGCCTGGCCCATGTATTGTATTACCAGACATGGGTATATAACAATTGTGAATGCAAGCTACAGGAAGAACAAACAACATTTAGATTCTCAGTTGAACAAATATTTAGAAAGAAAATTTTGAAATGATAAGATCCAATTCCGAGTGGAAAAGGAAGCAGGAGCATGGATAGAAGACTAGGTAAAAGCCACGATGTTCTCCAATGCACAAAATGAGAAAAGCAAAATCCGTGTACCCTAATTGACAAGGCAGTGAAATGACCAAGATCTGCAAACATAGCTTCAGTACCTGGTGAGACAAAGAATTGTTAACTGATTGTTGCATTAGCACTTAAATGTTCGCAAGTGATAGGTAGCAAAAATGCAATCAAATTCACACAACGTCATATAAACTGATTCAGCAACTAAGATAATATGCTGTGTCCAGCCTTTAAAAAAATATTCTGTCTAGTTGAAGATCCATCCTACCTGTTACAGAAAGAAGGATCCCTCCAAGAGAAATCCAACCATCTATACCAGTCTCCTTGAAGAACTTGATGATATAATGTGGAGAAACTGCATGTATAATGCTGGGATTCCAGCATATAATGTTGTACAGACCAACAGAAAACATCGAAACCAGCCAGATGATTACAATTGGCGCAAACATAAAAGCTACTTTATGTGTGCCACAATGCTGCAAAGCAAAAAGGCCGACCAATATAACACAAGCAATCAGGAGGAGTTCACCTAGAAAATTCAGTAGAAAGACGTATCAAAAGCAAAACAAGTATTTAATTAATGCTAATGAAAAAGCAATAACAAGAAACATGAATCAGAGCCTGACTGAAACCAAAATAAAGGGAAGATAAAGGAGGGATTGATACCATTGTGCCATTTCTGTTCTGTTACTCGCAACCCTGATACTGCTGATAAAACTGCAAGAAAGAGATGTAAACTACATATCAACCTTCTTTATTCTTGGAAACAATCAACCAGTCCCAACACCGTAAGAGAAGTATCAGCAAGTAAAAGTCAATTAGCAGCAAGCTAGAAAAGGTCTTTTTTATAACTCTAGGTTCATGAAGCAGGTCTTTTGTTATGACCCTAGATTCATAACTCCATAGATGAAGTTGCAGAAAGGGAGTGTTAGGAGGAAAGAGGAGTTTAATTGTTAAAGAGAAAGATACTTGATAACGGATTGGAAATTTTGTATTTTGAAATTAATGCATGAATCAATTAAGCAGTACATATTCATTTACTCTCCTTGCCCACTATCGTAGGCTAAAACACAGAAATCCTTTCAAACCATGACAACTAATCGCTGTTGTAACTAAATAAAAATCATAATAAGTGTAATACCTAGTTTATAACATGTTAACTATTCCATTGAACTTTTTTTTCTGAAATAAACTACTCCATTGAACTTCAACTAAATTAAGCAAACTAAATCAAGAAAAATTCAAATTTCAGCTCAGTTAATGTTGTTCATTAGGTGACCAGTATCAGTGTTGATTTTGGTTCAGAATTTCAAAAATGATTTTCTGTCTGTTACAGTTCTTAGATCCATAAACTTCTGCATAGAGACCTAATCATTTAATCACCGAATACATTAACACTAATGCAGTATTTTTTTTATATATATAAATTAACACTAATGCAGTATTTTTCTTTATATAAATTAACACTAGTGCAGTATAAAAGCCTAAAAGGAAGTGGAAGTTTAAAACCAAAAGAAAAAAAAATAAAAATAGAGAAACAATATGCTCAAATACCACTCTTGGATTGTTATTTACCCCTTTCATTCATCTCTCTCCCTCCGAAACTTAAATCCTTCTTTATCTCCTTCCTAGCCATTTTTAGCCATAGACTGAAGTAGCAAGTAGCCACTCATCCATTTATCTCTTTCCTTGTGGTCTCAGGCCAACACCCACAACAGTAGTTTTTGTGACAAGGTGCAGCAGCGAACAAACTCGGCAGTGGTTTCTTTTTCTTTTTTAAATTTATGGATTTTGTGTCTTTTTCGACAACCTTTTCTTTTCTAAACATATTTATGGATAAAGAAAAGAAAAAAAAACCACCAAAGAGAGTTCAAAATTAGAGCTTTCTAGTGAGAGTAAAAACATCTAGTCATATTTGTTTCCAGATATCATCCACCAAAAGTAAATATCTTTTTTCTTCATGTTTTCCACTCATTTCTGGGGCTTGATATTTGGTTTGTAATCGGAAAAAGTTTACTAAGCATTCTCCTTTGCATTGATTCAATACACTATTTTTTTGAGAGATATATGGACATAAGATTAAAAGGTATGGGCACACATATACATAATTACAAACAGAAAAGATCAAAAACATCATTGCATCGACATCATCCAACAAAAACAGATCCCTGTACAAAAGATTGAGTGTTCTAAACTCATTATCCATGATGGATGTTAAAGGAGAAGAAGAATGATCAAAAAAGCTCTTTGGATCCTCTTTTTCAAAGTAATCCAAAAGATAAAAACAGGATTGAGGGTTAAAAACCTTTCAATGCTTGGTGGCTGGGACACTGCCCCAGAGGTCATCCCTCCTGAGAGGCACAAACACCCAAGAAAGATTGAAGAAGCTAAGAGCTTATTTCCAAAGCTTTCTACCTTCCAAGAAGCCAAAAAGAGGATGATTTGGGGATTCACACTCATTGAGATATAGAAAGCACCAGTAACCATTACTCAATTAACCAAAAGAAAATTCAACGATTTTCACAAGGTCCTCCCTCAGTTAACCATTTCGGCCAACTAAATTCACTGGTTCAATTAATAACATGCATTCCAATTTGGTTAACCAACCTCAGTTTTGCACCCCCGGACTGGAGCAAATGAAAATAAAAATTATTCTCACCAAGATGAAACATAGCTGGCGAAAGAGCAACTATATTATAACTTCTATCCCAAAAAAAATGAAAAGAGAAAAGATTATACTTTAGTCTCTTGCCTGATATAGCTGGAGTCAGTACACCATCACCAATGACCATACAAGCACCAAAAAGTACCACTATAAGCAGGGCTGTCCGTAGCTTTTTATGCTTCTCCAAAAACCTCTTCAAAGAAGAGGACAAGACACCATCAGTTGAGGGTCCATATTTGTAAGTTGATAGCTCCTCATCAGCTGCTTGCTGATTAGGAAGTAAGCTGAATTTTCCATGTCTACAAAGAAGCGAGTAGAGAGCAAATACACCACCTGATATAGGTCCCAAATAAATTAACTTACAGGTGATACCTCAAAATCCAACTGAATTTCATAAAATGTTGAAAGGGTGAAAGATTTAGTAAAAAGATGTCACCTTCTCCATTATCATCGGCACCCAACAAGATACCAACATACTTAAGCAAAGGTAATAATGTCAAGGTCCAAAAGATCAGTGAAAATGCACCAAATATGACTTCCTCATTTCTATATTTCTGCAGCTTCCCTGTGAATGTGCTTGAGAAGACATAAAGAGGAGATGTGCTCAGGTCCCCATAAACTACACCAAAACTCTGGTATGCCAGTACTAAATTTCTAGAGAGGTTAACCCATGACAGCTGCAAAACCACACAAATTACCAGCCACAAGAGATAAGAATCCTGGTGAACCATCAAGGCTCAAAGGATGTATTCCAACTTACAACAAGCAAGTACAAATACAGTTTCAAAATAAATATAACTGGCCATGCGATGAATAATGCCGAAAACAATATTATCTTAAGCCATATATAATACTCCACTAAAAGGAACCAGTAATCAACAAGAAAATGTAATTTTACAATTTTCCACAAAAGATGAAAAGCACAAAGAAATACAACCACGGCAGATTGAATTTCGAAATATGAACAATATGAAAGCTTAGGCCTTGGGAGCAGCTTATTGGCAGGTTTTACAAGCCCTTGGGAGCAGCTTATTGGCAGCCCCCATTAGCTAAGCAGAGGAAAACACAATTCAAGAAGTAATTTTCTTTTCAGTTTAAGAAAAATCTTTTTTTCAAAAATAATCAGTTTAAGACAAAACATATATTATCCTAACCTTCTTCCAGTTCAAATAAAAGTTTCTACTGTACTATTTTAACTCCTCTGGAATTGTTCTGATGGTCGGTCCTTTAAGAATGAATGGGCACCGGTTAATAATTGAGGCCACCGATATGGTAGCTTGTGCATCCATGATCTCATGAAGCTGGCAAGAATCATGGTTTGAAACATAAACAATAACTCACTCTGGCTTAACACTAAAGAAAAATGAGGAGGTAACAAAAGAAGTTCCCTTCTCAGAATACACTCACAGATCAATCAAACACACGAACGTGCAAAGTCAAGTATCAGACTTAAACATAAATATTAAACAAGACGAAACATATCAAGAGAGTGATCAGACAGCAAGAATACTATACAAGAAAGCCCCAGCCTTAGAGTCAAGTTGACTATCTAAGAGTAGCCGGTTAGCCAACTACAACAATAACTTGAAAGAGAAACTAGGGTGGAGCTAAAATCTCATTATTTAATAGCAGTCAGAAGTACTTGGACTAAAAAAAATTCCTAGCCAACAAGCAGAAAAAAGCAAATAGGATTTGGTATAAAGAGAAAAAAAAAACAAAAAAGAAAAGCAGTTTATTTTTCTTGATATTGATTAACAAGGGAAAAGTATTGAACAAAACAGAGAGTACAAATTGGAGGGAAAGTCATGTAAATGCCATCGACGGGAAAATAAGACCACAAATGACGTAAGGCGGACAATCAAGCAACAGACGAAGATGAATCAATCAATAACGTCGCAGAAACATACTGGGAAAGTTCACAAAAAGTAAAAGGGATCCAAACAAAATAAAGAAACAAGCAAACAGATTCAAAGATAAATGGAGGGAAGAAGAAGATAATCAAATTACAAGAGGGAGCTGACGAAGAGGAGGGTTTCGAGGAGGGGAGAATCCAGATTCTGGCTCCATGCTATGAAGAAGGCCAACCTGGAATCCTTTCTTCTGGCTTCTCTCCTTCTTCTTCCTCTCCTCCTTCTTCCTTTCTCAGTGCTTATAAAATCTACAAGGAAGAAACAAAAGACAACAGTTTTAGGCCTCGCTAATCACATTCCATCTCTCTCTCTCTCTCTCTTCTCTGGTCTTGAACGTGAATGGAACCAGCGAAGCCACCCCTCTCCCCCAACAGCTCTGTAGAGTATGCCATATAACGAATTGAATCGCGTGACCCGACTCCGAACCAAACCGGATATGGGATTTCTTTATAATTGGTTGTTACTTCTACACGCGTTGTGATGGCGCGTGGTTATTTTGAACCTTCCACGTGGCTTCGCAGTACACTTTATCTCATTTACGGTCGTGCCTGGAGAGTGGGACTCGCTTTCACCAGATTTTACGCAGGGAACTAGATTTTATACAACTTACCATAATCAAAACCAAAATAACTATTTTATCGGAAGATACTTTGGTTATAATAACTTAATTTTTATATACATTTTAGAAAGTAAATAAATATTATATTAATATATTCTTCAATTAATAATTTTTATTATATATAATAACAAATTTTATGAATAAAGTTGAATTTTAAAATCTATATGAATATTTATTTATAATAATTTCTACATTTATTGAATAATCTAGAATTAAAACACATAATCTAGAATTAAAACACATGATACTATTCAAATTATGTTTTGATGATTTATATTTATTAATTTAATTAATTAGTAATTATAATTTTTAAGATATTTTTTATTTTAAAAGTAAAAAAAAAAAATTGATATTTAAAAAAAATATTAGAGATTAAATTGTAATAAAAAATTAAGAATTAAAAATATAATAAACATTAAACTTTTAAAATTAATTTAATAATTTGTCTTATAAATTATTTGATTTAAAATATAAGGAATATATATATATATATATGTATGTATATGTAGACGAAGAGTGTTGGAAGCATAAATTCCCGCATTATATTATGATAATAATTTGGATAAGTTGGTATCTATTTTGTTGCCTCCACTTAAACACTCTTTCAAACGCAATCTCTTCCCTATCTACAACTTTTCCCACACCATAAATCTTTACTTTCATTTTTTATATAAAATTATTTTAATTATTTTATTAATTATAGTTTATTTTTAAAAATAATTTAATACAACATACTACTAATACATATTCATTTTACTTTGGGTAATAATAATTAAGATTCAATTTTTTATTTTAAATCACGATTGGGATAATCACAAAATAAATATGGTTCTCATTTTTGAAATGTTGATTTGGGCAAATGTAATTTTGAATATTAATATATTTCGAGAAATATATATACATATATATATGTAGTGCATTGAACATTATTCAATTTTGGAATTTCGTTGGTGGATGGGATTGGGATAATATAAAAACAATAGCCAAACAGAGGAGGGCGGCTGCCCGTTGGGGGTGGGGGGAAGGCGGGGTTCAATTCAATGCCCACGGCTTATACGCGGGAAGCGCGTGAATATCAAACCAAGTTGAGTGCGTGATGGCGTCGTCATCATCCAACCACAATCAAATCAAAACCTACTAAAAGACAAATTCATCTCCCACGGTGGGCCCCAGTTTCTGCGCCAACGGCCAGGATCACAAAGAAGACGACAAAACCCTCTGCTCGGCATACTCTGTGGACTTTCCTAGCCGTATGATCATCCTAGTCTACGCTCTACAAAAATTCACCTCCAATTCTATTCTTTTCTTTTTCTTCTAGAAGATTTTCTATTTTTTTTTTTTTTTTACTTCAATTAGATTATTAATTATTTTAAAAAGTAAAAATTTATAACCCATCCGACTAAAAATGAAAAAAAAAAAAGAAAAAGCTTAATGAAAAAGTAAATATTTATTTTCAAACAAAAAAATTATATGTAATGATGATTGATGCATATATATATATATATATGTATATAATGATGATCGTTGATGTATAAGTCATAATATAATAATGTTTGAGAGGGCAATATAAAAAGTTTGTAGCTTTCTTAACAACTTCCGGGACAAGGAATTTGAGAAAATAAATTAAAACTAAGAGTCGTATGATGATGTTAATTGAATTC